GAGGTGGAGGGAGAGGGAGAGGGAGGGGAAGAGGGCAAGGAGGACGCGGGGAGGCTCGCGTGCGCCGCCGCCTCATCTGCATGCGCGGTCGATAGTCGCTGGAGGCGAACCCGCGACCCGCCTCGAGGCTCTGGGCGACTCCTACCGCACCGCCGCCGCCGCCGCCGCCACCACTGCGGCCACCGCGATGCGACGCGACGCGACGGACCGCACGAATTCCCGCTCTGCACCCCGATTTAAAAAGAGTGACTTCTGACATCTTCAGCTGTAACGCGGTTATCCAAACGGGTATTCAATACCACCAATTTAAGTTGTAACGAAGGTACTGATTGGAGAACCGCGTCACAACTGAAGATCTGTCAGAACTCACTACTTAAACCGAAGAAACGAAGAAACGAGCAGTGTGGCCAACAGTTTACCTAATGCCCGCTTGGTATGCGTCTTGGAGGAATTGACTCATTTTCGTGACGAACGGTAACACGATCCCGCGAGCGGAACGGAGTCGTATACAAATTAACTTTTAAGGCGCAATTGACGATTTTCTACGCGAGTCCAAGTTGATGACAAGGATCTGATTGGACTACACGATTAACATAAAACATTCTTGAGTTTGTCCAATTCATTTTAAACCATAAACTACTTTTTGGAAACAAGTTCAAAACAATTTATTTCTAAAAGTTACTTGCAATTGAGGAGGCATATATATGAAGTACATGCTTATAAGCTAGCTTGAACACAATCCTTTGCAATATCTCGGTGTGTTCACATCATAAAAACTCTACCCAAGTCACAGAAACAACCACGAACATTTGGACCACGAAACTCCTCCGAAAGCCGTCATACCCGCACCTTCCCGTCTCTCGTTTGTTACTTTCGTTCTCCGATCTAGCAGCTCGGGAGCTGTGCGTCGACTTGGGTGAACTGCAGTCGACCAAATGAGTAGCGCAAGGACATGCCATGATGTTGCCTACGGTAACAATCGAAATGCAGATACCACGGTGATGACGTCACGCCATCACGGGCATCGCTGACGCAAATTATGACGACAATGGCATGAATTGATGGAAAACAATTATACGGAGTAATGTTAGACAACCTTGCGTGATTGACGTGAGGGATACACGCTTGCGACCAAATGCGGAAGAAAGTCGCTGTGACATCTGAGTAATAAAGGGTGCGTTCAATCGCGCATTTCTCTTCAAGTAAATGCGTTTTGGCCATTCACTTGTAACAGTTTATAGCTAAGTCTCTGTGGAGTAAAATACAGCTCGATTCCTCTTTACGTCGTTCTCATCATCTGGAAGTTAAATTTGTAATGTTTTCACAAGATGTATTTCCAGCTCGATAACTAAACATAATATAATAAATTTTATTATATAATTTCTCACTTAAATCATTTATACTTGTAGAGGTGTTCAAGATCGCCTTTTCCGACATTTCTAAAATGCATTTCTTAGCTGACGTTGGCACTATGCAAGAAAACCTTTCGGTCTTTAGCTGGCCTATATTATACTTATCGAATTACAGTCCATTTTCAATGTTCTAAATCCATAACAGCTTTCTGTCCATTTCTCTGCGGCTTTCCCTTTTATTTTGCTGATAATTATTTTGACAAGCGAGTGCTTCTCATCTTATCGTCGCATCCCGAAGGCACATTTTCAAGATACGAAACTCACTGCAAGCGCAAAACTTTAAAGAAGCAAAAACTTCTTAGGATGATAATTTTCGCATTACTTTAACACTATCTTTTATAGTATCTGCTGTGTTTAAGAAAATTAGCAAGTTGAGACGCCTCTTTTCAAATTAATCTCATAGGTATGTTTTGAGAATCGTACAAACTCATTTAATGATTAATTCTACTTTGTTACTCACAAGTTGCTGTTTCATAGACGAACAGAGGGATACTATTCTGTTGAAAGAGATTGTATTGTTGAAGAATATAAATTACATTATTGGCGAATACATATTGCTGAAGATATTTGTAAGATAAGAATAGCAGGCGGCATATATGCGAAATTACTACACTTATATTGACCGATGGGTTAATTGACGTTCGCGACTCACCTTCAGAGCACGATTTCTTTGATTTCACATGTGGTGGAAACTCGACCAGTTCTCTATTAGTCTAAAATATTAAACTGGATATTACAAAATTTGGTTATGTTAATATATGATTCACTTGAAATTACGGCTGTGTATATTCTGTTATAATTTAAATACTGAATAAACTTGTTTAAAGTTTGTACTTCCATGTTAAGAGGGCAGCATTTCATTCGGCTAACCGATAAACTTTGCATTACTTCGAGTGAAAATAGATATTTTGTAAATTGTTGTATTACATTTTGGAAGCAAATTCGAGCTTGTACATCAGCGCTACAGAATTGAATGTCATTTCTCTTCATAGTGTATATAATTCGAAGTAGTCATGCACTAGGCCAACAGTTTCACACTGCAATTTGCAATGTAACAAAACCAACAATGTATTTCGTATAAAGGACACGGTTTTATATTTGTTGAACTGTAAATTTCATTTTGAGGCAGAAGTTGTATTGCTGTTATGCTCGTATTATTGTTTATCCTGTTTTCAACGTGCTGGAACGCCGAGTTCTCTCTGTACAAGCGCTACTTGGAATCGAAACTTTCGTAAACGTCAGAGGTGGTATGAAACCAGAAGACGGCGGACAACGTGCCGGTGCGGAGAGCCCAAGAAGTACAAGAAGTATTAGTAGAAGTAGTAGTAGTTCCGCTCGGCACCGAGCGGCGCGCGGCTGTCGCCAGCCGGGGAACCCCCGCACGCACGGGCGGCGGGGGCGGCGCCGGCACCGCAGAATCGTCGCTGCTCTCTCGAGGGACGAAAGAGGGAAGAAACGAGCAAGGCCGTGCCACAGCGACCCCCAAGCCTTATTCACCAAGGAAGTTCCCATTCACTGAGTATGTAGTAACTTCTTCCTGACACGAGAGAAAAGCAAATTTTTGTTCGTTTCAAAAAAGTTTAATGCATAATGGCCGTAAGTCGAAATTGGTATATCTCTACTCATAAAATTTACATTATGTACATTAATAATTTAATTCATTTCGCTTACGTTAACAAAAATAAGGATTTAATTGTAATAATGCAATGTCAACATTTTTGTTAGAGCCCGTAAGTTTGGCAATATTAATTCTTGCCATTATTATGACTTTAAAATTTTAAACAATGCTCTACTGTGCTTTTGTAATTGTATTGAAAGATTTTCATTTTTTTGTTGCGTATTTTAGCTGTCTTTGGCTGTTTTCTGTATGTTGTCATAATTTGACCTTTCTCTTTCTTTTTTTATTATTTTCTTTTTTTCTCGTGACTCCAATCTTGATAACGCTGGCAACGTATCTCCAACATTGGACAATTCGTGAACACTTTGTCTTTCTTTGCAAGTGGAAATGCACTTTCCAGGATGCAGTAAGTGTTGAACTCGCACTACAAAGTTCAGACAGATTGATAACTGCTGCCAGAAAGCGATACCAGTGAAGATTCTTGGATATCATTCAAGCCAACCGAATTTTTTTGACCAAGAGGAAGCTCTTTTCACGAGTGAAAACGACCATTGACCTCTCTGAATATCATTTTCACTGATGACTTTGTCTAAGAAATAATTATTAAAAGATTTATTACAGGCTTCCTTATGTTCTTAACACATTTACATACAATATATTTTATATCTTCCCAACAATAATTCTTTACAAATTTATTGTATGAAATTTTGGTCAACATGGAAGTCTGTAATAAATAGATCATTCTTCATTCCATTTATTTAGACTCAATGTTCTTTTTTATGAACATTTGTTATATACGAATATTTCATGCCTTTTTACATTCATATTTTTCCCAGAATAAATGCCTATACTTCCGGGCTCTATTTATTATAGTATGCAACAATACTGCTTAGGTTAGTTGTATAAAAAGTACCGAACCTTTCCTTTTTGAAACGTTTCGTCCTTTGACATTTTCGTCTCGTGGTGGGTACTAGGTTGTTCCAAGGCCCGCGGCCTCGCGCGAGGCACCTTTGCACGGCCCTGGACCGACGGGCGCCAATGGCGCCGGAGAACGACCACAGTGCGAAGGCGAGCGCATGCGCACAGCGTTGGGTTGCACAGCGCCTGCGCGCGGCGTTGCGCAAGCGCGTTGGGGCTTTCGACGCGGCGCAGCGCGGCGCGTTTCCAGCGGTGCGCGCTGGCATAGCAGTGAAGACAAATCACATCAGTGGCGTGCCAAATTAACGTTCATCTGGACATGCAGATTTTGTGGTGTTCGCATTCTGTTTGTTTTTTTACTTACTTCGCATCTTTGCTTTTATAAAATATTCAGAATTAATTTCGACATTATTTGATATAATTATGAAATACATGTATCTTATGTAAAGTTACAAAGTTAAATAATGAAAACTCTAAAGAGATCCTATCATATTGTACAATAAATACATTAGAGAACGTCTGCAAAAGATTTTGAAGAGAGAATGTACGAGATTAAAAGTAATTTTTACAAAGAGAAGCATTTTACTCTTCAGAAAAATCTTTTCATGTCAAAATTGGCACACATGTCATTGACTTGCCATCTCCGCTATTTATTGAATTGTAGGACGAAGAGGAGAAGAATGCAAAGTACCCAGTTTGGACGACGTGCCGGTACCCTCACAGTAGAATCTTCGCATCTTGCATTTTATAATGCACAAAATATTTAAGTTTGAAAATGACGCGACATACCTCTCATCTCGTATATGCAGAGTGAAACTCGTCTTCCCAACCAGTTTGTGTGCAATAACTACACAGTGAAGACAAATTAAATTTTCTTCAATAAGATGACACCGTTTTCTGACTTGTTTACATTTAGACTGGAAGAAGAAAATTTTTCCAATATAAAACAATCAAATTCGTATCATACACTTCCTCACTTCATGTTATATATAAACACGTAAATATGATGCTCTCTCTCTCTCTCTCTCTCTCTCTCTCTCTCTCTCTCTCTCTCTCTCTTTCTCTCTCTTTCACACACACACACACACACACACACAAATACACACAGCTTTCAAATAAACTGAGATTCCAACCCTACATTTGAGAATGTCGTTACATATTCACATATCTTAATAATTTCACTTTAATGCAGATCACACACAAACACACGATAACGAATTCAACATTTTAACAAGTTAAGTGTGCTTGATACACTTTCACCTATCTTCTCCTCTCCATCCATCATAGAACAATGGCATCACTTCGCATGCAAGAACTGTGGTTTCTTCGTTACACGTACACAATGTGCGAACGACGAAATCCTCTCGTAAATTATTTAGGACGTTGCTAAAAATCGTTCAAGGCGGCTCACGTCATAGAGGAGAAAACCAACATGACGAGCAGCAAAGCAACAGGGTCGCACCGAAGGGACAGAAGCCGAAAGTCGTGGGGCCGATGGCCGGCCGGCAAGCGCAGCGGAGCAACGCGCCGCGCACGAAAGCTGGGTAGGCGAAGGCCGGCTTAGAACCCAGCGGGTAGGCCATCGCAGACGGCTCGCTGCAACCGCCGAGTGCACGTTCTGCAGGTCGTGTAGGCTCGTTAGTAACATAAAATTAAACAACACAACTTGTTTGATAATTATTGTAACGTCCAATGTTGATTTAAATCAAAAGCTTCTAAAATCCCACCCGAGGCTAAACTTTGACCACTAGCACTAGCACTTCGTAGTTTTTAGTTTAGCAAAGGGCGGTCGTAAAGGGAACAATAGCTTTTATTTGGAAGTCAAGACTATGAAAAGTCCGGCAGTCTTTGAAGCATTAATCTTTATATTGATTTCAGTATTGCAGGTTCAATTTTATCCACATAGTTATTATTGTCGAGGTAATTATTTTTCGTTCACTGCCTGAGATAATAGAGCGGCAGTTGGTGCATGACACGAAAATTGCTCGTCTCATCGGTTCCACTTATTGACTTCTCGGCCTCCGTTTAGCGCGGCGGGACCCTTTGCTGCTCATAACGCCGCGACATGGCCTGTTAAAGTGTGCTTAGCAATATGCGACCGAACCATCGGCCAGATTTGCGAAAGAAAGTCAGATAGACAGACACGAGTTCGAGAAATGGTAACGAAGACGCGAAAACAAGAGCAAGAGGGCGATGAAACCAAACGGAAAGCCACACAAACACAGTTCATTTTTCAATTTCTAAAAACTCTCTAGGGGCATATAACGTCCTTTATAAAATAGCACCGTGGCTAAGAAAATAAACTTTTCCTTACAAAATAGCAATTCTGGTAACTCACAGACTGCCCTTGGCAAAAGAAAGTCGTTAAGTTCTTCAGAGATTCTAAGAATATGCACACTGGTATTAGCTACCAAGGATCTACGTCACACTATTATTGTATGTTCTTCATTTAAACCATTTTTTTGCGAAACTCGTCAGGATATGTTCACAAAGCTGGTGCCGTCTGTTATCAGAGGAGGTATGTCTGTTCATGTCCCCGACGCTGCAATGCGTGGGCTGCTTCAGTTAGGACACGGGGAATATGGAGTGGAATGCTTTCGCACCTCCGCCCTCGTCCTCGCCCTCGCCCTAGCCCTAGCCCTCCCCTCCAGCAGCACCGCCGCCAGTGCGGGGCATCGAACCGAGTTCCTCTTCCCATTATCTGACCAACCCTCCCACCCAAAACGTTAAACCCACATTCCTTTCGACAGATCTCACTCTGCACGTATCTGCACGACCAGAAATAAGAATATTTGCGCTTGTCAGTACCGCGCTACCTGTGCATTTCGGGAAGGAAACGCTTCACGTTTAGGCCTACACTGGTAAAGAAATGCACTTGGCAGTAAGCTCACGGAACAAAAAAAAACAGTTCCGTGAAAATTGCGCTGTAGGAACATTGTGTCTGCTGCAAACACTTTTTTCCCTTTTCTTCTCCATGTTAAATTAACTGTAGTCGGCATTTCGGTACAGACTTCTTTGGTATATAAATGACAATGAATGAACATATTTCCGTACAGTTTTTATGAATCGAAAATAGAAAAGAAAAAATATTATTTCGTCTTTGGAGTTCCTGTGTCGGTTCGATACTCCGCATCTGCCCGCGTGCCCACACCCTCTCGAGGCCGCCCCCTCTCGCACTGCCCTGCCCCGGACCACGCTCGCATCCGCTCATCAGGAATTTATCGGAGGGCATCCGATCAAAATTTCATGGTGCTGGCGACGGCCTCTCAAGCGTGGGACTGCAAAGTGTCCCGCCGCCTCGCCCCGCCCCGCCTTGCCCCGCTCGCTCCGCCCGCCCCGCTCCGCCCCAGCTCGCCGAGGGATTGTTTTTATGACATGTTCGATGACATCGTTTTACGACCGGATGGATGAAGTGTGTGAGGGTATGACGTAATCACGCTTTCAGTTCGTTAATTGCTTGGTTTGTGACGAGCTGCTTTCGGAGAGCGGTGGAAGCCGCAGCCCTCGAGGGAAAAGGACGCTGCAAAGACAGGCGGTCGGCGGCGGAGGGGCGGGCGGAGCGGAGCGGGGCGGGGGCGGAGGGGAGAAACCATTGCGAGGACGCAAGAGCACCGGTCGTAACTGTCGGTGGTGAAACTGCGTGAGATGAGTAGATGCAGATCAAAGCGAACGTTGTCATCCGAAACCGATCCCGCGGAAAAGCTGCACCGAGGTCTCTATGACTGACTCCGAAGCCAAAAATATGATCGATAATAATTGCGTGAGTTAATTACTCTCGTAGAGTATTCTTGGAAAGATATCTTATATTAAGTAACTATAGCTTTCACAAAAACGGGTAATCACAGAATGTATTGTGGGGTTACGATTTGAGTTTTACCCGAATGGTGTCATGAAACTGACACAGATTCGAATGTGTGATGGTCATTCTATCATGAGGGGTGAAATTTAACATCTCTAGACCGTAGCAAATGTTCGAAAATATTTATGATTCGCCACCATGGAATTCGTATATATTTTCCGAACGAGAGAGGAAGTCAATTGGCTTCCAGCGGAACGGTTTGGCTGAAACGTCTCGCTAGGGCGCGGCGGGTGACGCGCTGCGACGGAGCGGCGAGGCGGGGCGACGCGGGCGGGCGGGCGGGCGGCAGGCCAGGGAGCTAGCGGGTCTCTCTATTCGGTGGCCGGGCGGGCGTTGTGCGACCCGCTGCCTTATTCCTCTGGAGCGCGCCCCGACCGGCCCCCACCTCCGCGAGAGCTACTGCCTACGCTACGCCATAGTTTAACAATTATTTATTACTATTGATTAGTTCTATTATTGCTGCTGTTGGCGGCCTGCCCGCCTTCGGGGCGCCCCCGTCCGCCCCCGCCTGCGCCGGCGCGGGGTGGGGAAGGCGGTGGGGGTGGGGGTGGGCGCGACGCGGCCGCGATCCCTCAAATGGAAGGTCATCGTCTCTTTGCGCCTCACTGCACCCCTTACTTCTAAAGTCTTTGGCACTTACTATCCTAAATTAAAAATACATGTATGTTTACAGAAAAGGCAGAAAACCCGGGGCCCCTAGAGCCCAGGGGGGAGGGGCGGGGGGGGGGTTCGCTCGCCGCCGCACGGGGCGCGAGGCCGACGACGCACTCTTCGCCGCGCGCTTTCGCTCGCCTCGCCCCGGCGGTTCGGCGGCGGCGGAGACTAGCGGGCGGGCGCGCGCCCTTATTGCTGTGGGCCCTTTGACTCGGGACGACAAACTGCACTTCAACTTCCGACTCGCCAACGGTGCGATTACAAGTCGAACTTCTGTTACTCGGCGGCTCTTGTTATAGAGAGCATACTATACACGCGCACTGCTTTCACAGCTACTGCTTGGCCACCGCTGGCAATATAGCTGCATATTGTCAGGCCAATCATTTTTGTCAGTGTGTTCGTTTTCCAGTTAAACTCATTTTGGTTAAATGGCTTCATCACGTATCTGCTTGCAGTGATACGTCCCTGCGTGACAATTCATTTGTTTCCCGAAAATGTCAAAGTGGTCCCTCTTAGAGCGAAACTTCCTCTGTAGAAACAGAGCCCCAAACCACAATATAAAAATTCCGTAACCCGGAGCAGGTAGGAAGTGAGTGTGCAGCGAGAAATGCTAGGGCTCACCTATTACGGATATATTACATACGAACGCTGACTTTAAAACAAATGTTTCTATTACCCGAAGACCCCACTCATGGCAAGGCTAGCTGCATAAACCGAGTTCCCACTTCAATGCACATCGGCCAGGCACACCCTTTGCTCTGCAACCGTCGCCCGGGAGGAGCGCAATTGGCTCTCCGGGCGGAAGTGCCAATCGCGACCCCCCTTGCCCCGACCCATCTCTCCGCGGCCCCGACCGCTGCCTCACTCCTTCCGGCGGCCTTCTCCGGCCGCCTTCGCCTCCTTCTTCTCCTTCTTTTTCTCCGCTTGGCTTCCTTTCTTGCCTCTCCTTCTTCTCCGCCTTTTCTCCTTCTTGCTCTCCTTCTTGGTCCGCTTTGCTCTCCTCTTGTGGCCTGGCGTCCTTCTTCTCTCCTTCTCTTCGGCCTTTCTTCTCCAGCCTTCTCGGCGCTTCTGTCGGCCTTTTTTGTACGGCTCGCTTCTTGTTCTGGCCTTCTTGGAGGCGGCTGGTGGGCGGGCGGCGGGTGCGGAGGGACCCTTGTCGCCGGGGGTGGTGGCGGCGGCGGCGGGCGGCGGTGGGGTGGAGGTTGGGGTGCGCGGGGGGCGAGCGCGCCCGCGGGGGCGACGCCTCCAGCTGCGTCACGATCTTCTGCGCGCACCTGAAACACGTGCGCAAGCGCTCGCCAACGTCTCTCAACTCGGTCACCTGCTGCTCGACCCTTTGGAATGACAACGTTCCAACAGACAAGGCAGTAAGAGAATAATAGAAAATAATTATTAATAGAAATAAGTAAACAAGTAGATAACAAAAAAATAATAGAAGAAAATTTCGTTACGATTTGAGTGATAACATGTAGTGGAAATCTTTTATTTCACGACTAGGAAATAATGTGACACGAGGGCCATGGGCCGATTTGGAACAATACTACGAGCAAAATAACAGTTGAATCGTTGTAAGGCTTACCTTGTGAATCGCACAAGGTAAGCCTTACAGACTTTTATTTTATTATAACTTAAAAAGGGCAAATCACTTAATAATACATGTTATTGCTGATCCTGTCCTACGAAAGTTCTTTTTGTCGTATTCAAAAATTTATCTGAACATTCCAGCATCGATTCATTTTAGTACTAGCGCCAAAAATGGAACCTTAAGCATGCTACGCATGCCCTAAAAGAACCGCTTTTGCTTGTGGCGATTTGAAAAATAAATTGTTAGTATGAGAAGGTTTTATCTGATTTCTGCTACAAAGTAGAAAATATTCCCGCTAGAATCTGTGGACACGTAGCTACTCTAAAAAATCACTACTGTAAGCGTAGAGATGAATGAATAATGAGAAAACAAAACTAATATCGATTTACTCTAAATGACTGAAATGGTAGTTGGAACCTTGTCATTACAAAGCGTCGAGACAGCAGTTAATGCTACAAAACGTGCAAGAACTACTCACTACTTTCTTACATATAATGATTTCATTATAAATACAAATTCACTTCTTATGGAGTAAAGCATATAAAAGCAAAACACCATTTGCAAAACAAAAGAAGTAAGGAACCCAATTTGACAGCTTTTATTTTATTTACAGAGAATTTGCATTCATAATTTTCTAGGACCTCTATAAAGATAAATATGGATAAGTTACATAACTCTTGTAGTTAGTCAGTTTTTGCGCAAGAAACTGAGACTATTTGTCTTACAACAAAGACAAAATTTCAGGTTCCTAACAGAGAAGAGATAAGTGATTTAGTATCATGTTTTGTTATATTATTTACATCAGAAACTCCACACATCGCGTATTCTAATTAAAATATTCGTCTTAAGCACAATTAATAATAGCATTTGTTCATGAAATTGGAAGAAAGAATAAAGGGAAAATAATAAACAGGTGTAGATAGAAATAATTAGAAAATTTTGTTTCCGCAAAACGTCTCAAGACTTATCTTTAAAAAATATTTATTTGAGGTCCTTTTCCAACTGCTAGGGGCATGAGCGATCAATGACTTCTCTTTGTGTTAATGTTGTGTTCTTTCTAATTTATGTGAATATTTTGCTCTCTACCTTACAAAATAATGCTTGTATGCTGCAACAGTGGCACAACAAAAAAATGTGAATTGTTAGTAAAAGCACTCTCCAGAAATACATATTTGTCTACCCTCCTTCAGCAACAACAGCATATCTTACAATACAGTATTCCACCAAGAAATGGCAGAAGTATGAATGCATGAATGATGCATTTCAATACCAGGCGAAAATTTCAAACTCATTTACCTCAACATTTGATTGTTTGAATTGTACCATTACAACACACCAAGGACGATATATTGAACCCATAACGAAGAGAGCTGAGACAGTTCCAAAGGCAGAAAACTACCGATCGGCCTCTAGAATTCCCGTCCTGACAGAGGCTGCATTCGACCTATGGCTCGACCACTTAGAAGAAAAACCTGAACTGCTCATGCACGAAAAGTGGCGGAGGGGAAGGATCCCTCTCTTAGAGACTCAGCTTTCCCGCCTTGAGAAGCCACCGCTGCCGTGTTCGTCTCGGCCTGGGCAGGCGGGAAGAAGACAGCCTGGCCTTGACGAACGTCCCGAACCCTAGAGTGTTGAAGCGTGAGAACTAAGATGCAAGAGCGAATCAGTTATCTTCGCAGGCGGGCCTTGAGTTCAACTGAGATCACCTTCGACAGCAGTGGGGGATGGCTTAGGGACGCCTCCCAAGGTACGCGACGCCATAAGTGCTTTTTCTAGGGGGTTGAGCTGTAGCTATGTAGCTAGTTGTCGAAAAGACCTCCAACATCGGGACTGAAATCCTAGGAGATAACACTCTCCTACAGTGACATCAGTTAATGCCCTGAGCCATACGCTTTTACACTGGTATCTTGGTGTAATAGCGTTCTAATTTACGTTAATATTTTTCCTGCCTTCCTAGTAGGGCATATAAAATTGAATTGAATTGAATTAATGCCATATTTTACGTGGCGAGACTCGGGCCATCTTTCCCGCTCTTCCGTCTGACCACGCAAATTTCGCTACGCTCCTTTCACCAACTAGCGGAGAAAGGAGGTATTTCTTGGGCGCGAAACAGGCGATTTGAATGTAGCTCAGAGGCTACGTCATTTAGGCTTGGGGACCTTCCGCATGCATCGCCCGGGAGAGCGCGTGCCGTCGTACCTGATGCGCGTGGAGTGCGAGGCGGCGGCGCGCTCCTTGCCCGCGCGGAACTCCCTCTGGAACTCGCGCTGGAACTCCCGGATGGGCGGCAGCGGGCGCAGCGGAGGGCGGTCGGCGGCGGCCCCGGCGGGCGGTGGGGCCCCCGCGCCGCCCGCGCCCCGCGCCCGCTGCCCGCGCCCTCGCCGGCGCGCTCCCGCCCGCCGCCCTCGCCGCGCACACACAGAGACAGACGCCGCGGCCGCCGCCCCCGCGGCCGCCGGCCGCGACGCCGGCTGCTTGTACTCTTGCAGGCGGATCTGCGCAGGAGGACGCGCGCCGTCAGCTGTCACCGACGATGGAAAGATCACCAACCACAATTTGGGTCGACGGTCGTATAAAAGCGAGGGTCTTCACGCACCACTACGCGTGCGTGAAGTTTCTTTTACACATCTGAAAAACGTGATGTCACCGTGCAAAAGGTCTTGTATCCAAAACGGCTCATGTTGGAAAAAAAAGGGAAAAAATGGAGAAAAAATATGCCGTACATAACACGGTTTTTACGTGCTTCTATTCCGTGTGGTATTTTTTTTCATTCTAACTATTAGCGTGCGAAACATTATGAAGCGTGTGCGTGATATCGCGTAGTGTGTTGGAAATATCCTTTGCGCACAGTGTGTTAAAATATAGTAAACGCAACACGTGCGAGGGGTGGTTCGTGCACTTGTCACTTAAATTAATATTATCGTGTGAAGAATGCGAACAAAGATCGGGCTTTGTTGCAATAACAATGAAGAGAAGATGAATGAAACGTTACTCGTACATAGGCTTTTTATACGACCGTTGAACATTTTCTGTTTATTCTTTGCCGGTAAAATGATTCTTTATTGCACCATCTCGATTGTTTTCTTTTATCTCAACCCATCTATCGGTCTCGATGAAAACATCTCAATCTCGATTGTGCAAAAGCAATAATTTTAGGCACACTTAATATAAAATGTCCGTTTTACAGAAAACGGTCAAATGTGCTCTGTAATAAATATATTACATTAAAAACTGTTGCATTAAAAAATATAACTATTGTGGATGTGCCAAAATATTTAAATTTGCTGACAGTACGTATTTTGGAAATAAACACGCGTTGAACCTTTGTCAAACCTATTTCATTTGCATTTTCTGTGCCTTGAATGAGCATTACTATAGTCTATTACTTGTATGAAAGAAGAAAATTACAATGAGGAAATAACGTACACTAATCAGCACACTTATGAATTAACGGACGTCTACTTATGGCTCACATTCGGATGCAAAACTACGAGCTTACCACAGTTTTTACTGTTGCCATTGTTTCCATTTGAATTGTTGACTAAGAGCTCAACATGTTATTTTGTCTTCACAAGAATCATTAATTTCTGCTAAGTTCATTTTTTATTTATCGTTTAAGACATTATATTGAACTAATTAGTTTAATATATTTTAGTACCTTATTACAATTTTTTCTTTGTTACAAATTTCTTGACGTTATTGACTAGTATTTCATAATTAAAAGTACTTCAGGAACTGGGATGATATCGTTTAAATTTAATTATCTATATTACAGAGGTATTAAAATAATATTTTGAAAGGTTATTCCAAAATTGACATGTAACTACGGTCCATTTTGGTTGTTCCATAAAAGACTTTAACACACATCATGCCTAAAGAATAATACAAAAAAATAATTTCTTATTTTTCTTTGCATTTCTCTGCTTCTTACTCAGAGATATTTCTCATTCACAAAATTTTCCCTGAGTTGAATATGACTCTTGACTTTTAACACAGATTTACATGAACTTATTGTGGATTATAAACAGTTTATATGATATAAAATTAATTTTCTTTGCTTGATAACAGATCAGAGAAAAATATTTGTTACTGTGTTGTTAAAATATATATAGAGTTATTGTATTTTCATTAATTAGTTTTTATTCAATTTTATCAACATCATTAATTTTATTAATTTTGGTTGATCTTAATTTTAACAAACAATTTGGAATCAACAACAATTTAAATAATTAAGTTTCGGATTTTTAATAGCTCAAAATAGGAGTATATTACAACATCTAGAGTTTAAAATCAATTAAAATTAACACTTCAATTTATATTTGGTTTCATTGAAATCGCAACGACGTGGAGCCATAGTGATTGAAAATGTTGACCAGTCATGGGCGGCTAGGAATTACATATTGCAACATTTGATGACTCTTACTGGAGAGAGATCCCAAATACAGAAAAAAAATATTAAGTAAATTGTTGCTGATAACAAATCTATTAAAAATAAGCACAAAATATGAAATCCGGAGTGTAACAAAAGTAATAATTAAACATTTTCATGATAATTTTTGAATTATTCATGACTTTCATTTTCAATATTTATATTAATTCTGAAAGTTGAGCGTAATTCTAACTTTGGCCGGGTTGACATATTGGATGTTATGTTTCGGAGATAATTTGTAAGTACTGTACAGTTTCTAAAAACAACTATACACAAAGAAGAAAAGCCTCTCTTTGCGGCCGACGTGTGTTAAGGTTTTCAAACCGTCGGTCGGCGGTTAAGAACAATCAAAACAATTGATTTGTAGTGAAGTATGGTGAATGAGTAGTCCTATTCCAAGAAAGAAGATTTCTTATTGATATGTTTTTATAAGATAAATAGATTTTACGATAAATAGAGGTGTCTCAGAATAAATGTTTTAGAAGATGCAAAAGGCATTTCCACTTATTTGTAGGAAACCCCGTATACACAAATATTCAACAGGTCACGTTCTGACACAGTCAAGGCGATTTTAAACTGCTGCCAAACACAGACCCACAGGGGGTTGCCTACAAACCAGGGGTAAAAGGCCCTACATACAAGAGCTTATATCTTCCGTTATAAGCAATTTCCCACTATTCATCTAATGGCAAAAAGTGCTCATTTTCGACATTCCTTGATGCCCTAGAAATTTGCGAAACATTTATTTTGGGACATCGGTATCTAACGACACACGCCCGATAACGCCGACAGGCTGTGTGCATCTGAATGTTCCGTTGCGGGCGCGGGCGCGGGCGCGCTGACCTTCATGGCCTGCGCCTGGGAGCGGCGCAGGGAGCCCGTGGGCTGGCGCGGGAAGCCCAGGCGGCCGCTGCCCACGGTGGACGCCGCCGACGCTGACTTGGTGGAGCGCGCCGACACGCCGCTCGCGCTCGTCGCCGAGCTCACGGAAGACACGCCTGCAAATAACGCACCGCGCGCACGTCACCACGCGCCCAGCCCACACAGCACGCGCGCGTGTGGCGTTGGAGGGGGGCGTAAATGAAAATAATAATAATAATAATAATAATAATAATAATAATAATAATAATAATAATAATAATAATAAAAACTAGAAGACAAAAGAACTTTCAAACAACAATTTCTGGAATTGTACGAAAACCCCCAATGTGGCTCTTGTATTCTAGTTATGTAAGTTAGTTATAAGTACTATATTTTTTTGGACGTGAAATCTAAGTGACAGTCTCTCTACAGTCACGTAAATACTAACTAATTATGTTCTCCCTAATTATGTTGAAGATACTAGCCCTCCCAACGCTTCAAATGCCTAACAGGCTGTATCAAAAATTATGTAAAGCCATGCCAATTGATATTTTCCCCACCTCTCCAAGGTTACTCGAGAGGGCAAATCTTAAAAATAAGTTTGGAAGGTGAGTGAGGATACCCCCGATTTATATGCTTCCTTTTGGCACTTTCGGGAGATTTCGCGAACGTGCGCATGCGCACAGTGGTTTTGCCGCTCCATAAGCAGCTCTGCGGAGACACAGATTCTCTAAAACCCCAGAAACCGTTCGTCGAAAGGAAGAGGATAAATGGAAATTCGGTGGTTTGTTGTTTGAACGGAAAAGTGATTTGTTTGGGGGTAATTGTATTAAAAAACTGTTTATTTATAGTTCGTATTGTTTGAAATTTGGGAGCTGTGCAATATGTTGAAAATGTTTTGAGTTGAAAAAATAAATAAAATAAAATAGTCTAATACATTTTATGTAGAAACCACGAGAAAGGAAGAGAAATCAGTTTATCTTTAAGAGACAAGTCAGATTATATTCTTACTGAAGAGTATGTCAGAACAAAATGGGAGAGGAGAGGGGCAAACACACATCATATTTTCTTATCACGTATGATGAGAGGATATGCTCACATGTGTATCCTCATTATTGTGCGCTATTTCTAGTACAGTGTTAATCTGAAATTTTTTTAGCGAACATATTTAGTTAGCATTAACGAAATGAAAGATTGTCAGTCTATTACATTCTACGTCCTTGCAAAAATAGTCAACAAAATTTCAATTGCCGCAGTAGAACTAGTAATTTTTTTAAAATTTGAATTTTTTACATAATATCACAAACGTACAAACTTTACGAAACTGTATGCATGCATGCTTCGCCGTACGCCTTGTAATGATCTAAGAAACCAGAGAAATTACCGATCAGAGGTTTTCCATTAGACAGCTAAGTTCGTGACAACTACCTAGCTATTGAAGAAAATCCGCCATTGGGACTAATATCTTAATTCTCCGTCTTGTAAGTCCGTCCTAAGTTTTCTGGCCCACTATGTTACATACACACTGTATATTTTCGCTGAGCCATCTCAACTGATGATTCAACCTGGTGAGAAGAAGGGTGGAGGTGTAAGCAACCTAGTTGGAACGCCTCGCCCAGAAAGGTGGAAGACCAGCGTACTGGTCGCCACGCCAAATGGAACCGGAAAGAGTGGAAGTTGGTGGTGAAAGTAAAGAATTAAAATTCCTATATCCAAAGATACGAAGTCAATGCTGGATCACCTAGGTTTGTATCTTCTGAAAGAAGGGCAGGGAGGTATAGAGACAGTGGTTTCTGAAAGTAGTGCATTCCTTAAGTGGTAAGGAACCATATTATTCTCAAAACCAATACTCGAAACTCGTTCAACTGCTATCATTTCTCCTCATCTCTTGTGTGCTACCTGGGTGAGCTATTGGGCAAGAGAGCGGGCGTCGAGGTTGCACTATACTCCGCTTAAATCGAAGGTTTAATTGACTTTTGATCAGCTTGGAGAGTTGTTCATAACTTCGTTTTAAGTTAAATTTCAATTATAAATTTAGGGGAATTGTCAAATTAAATTTCGTTGCGCAGTAATTTATTGATAGACGTTACTAAATCAGCTTTAATACTTCGATGTTTGATCTTCAATGTTTGTGTTCAATTTTTAGCAACATTGATATTTTGTTATCGATATCGCTTCACTTCCATGAAAGAAACAATTCTCAAGCAACAAAGGGATGGATGCAAGAAAAAGTTGTTGAATCCATAATCTAGGGGCTGAAGGAAAGTGTCCCTGAATTTTCAGGAGGCCTTTGTCTGCAAGGGATTGAATGAACTGTAATAATAATAATAATAATAATAATAATAATAATAATAATAATAATAATAATAATAATAATCAACCGTGGCGCAGACGGTTGCAGCTGCCGTAACCTGCACCAAGGAGACTGCAGGTTCGAATCCTGCGAAGGCATGGTCGTATTTGTGATTGTCTCTTCACCCCTCATAATCATCCTATCACTCCATAATTCAAGGTGTAAGAACCTTGTCTTACCAAGGGCAGCCGGAAAATGGCTGGGTTTCGAAAGATAACGTGTAGTGTGGTCATAAGTGGCCGATACGCATATAATAATAATAATAATAATAATAATAATAATAATAATAATAATAATAATGATAATGTTGATAAAATAATAATAATAATGATAATAATAATAATAATAATAATAATAATAATAATAATAATAATAATAATAATAATAATAATAATAATGATGATGAGGGTGTTGGTGGTGATGGTGATGATGCAGGGGGTGCGTGGCACCCACCGGAGAGCGAGGAGGCGCCCGACGACATGGAGTAGAGCGAGGCGGAGGCGGGCACGGAGGCGGCGCCCACCGAGTACTGCGAGGCGGACGCCGGCAGCAGGCCGTGGTGGGCGTGGTGCGCGTGCGCGTGCGCGTGGTGCGCGTGGTGGCCGCCCGCGCCGCTGCCGCCTCCTGCGCCGCCGCCGCCGCCGCAGTGCTGCTGCTTGAGGCGCAGGATCTTGGCGCGGCAGATGACGCAGCGCAGCGGCAGCAGGCGCTGCGACACGGCCATCTGGATCGTCTTCACGAAGCACTTGCGGCACACGACGCGGTGGCCGCACGGCGACGTCTGCATCGTCGCCTTGGCGTTCACGCAGATCACGCACTGCGCAGAGGACGCCCCCGGGCGGGGGGCGGGGGCGGTGTTAGTGGGGTACGCTCATTGGTTGTGCCGGACGCGACAAATGTTACGGTCAGTAGGCCTGTCACTGTCGAGAATGTTTAATTCCTGGAGGTTGCGATGTTCCTTTCCCCATTATATGAAGATATTGGAGGAGTTACCCTCTAGAAATCCCCCTCTAGTTCCTCCCCAGTCGGGGAAGAAGGTAGTACGAGGAGGGCGTGAAATATAACTCAAGCTCTCGTACTTTGGTCGTGAAAGAATCAGGTATGCTTCGTTCAAGCTGGGAAGATTTTTTTTACTATTTCTGAAACAACTATTCGGAAGTCGGAGAGAAATATTCCTTTCAAGAAGAGTAGTCACTCATCAGAACCCATTAATGGCAAAATGTGACCTGGTTTTAATGGTCTCAAAAATGGTCTTAGCTGGAAAGACTCCGGATATTTAAGTGTTGTAGTATATCGTATGATAAATCAAATCGTGTTATTTCGTTAATAATTTTTACATTGCTGAAAAATATTTCCGATCAGATTTCATTTACAATGAATTTCCTTCCAGGCCTTGTCTATTTCTTCTGATTTTACATACATATGTGCTTTGACAGCTTAACTGTTAAATACATTTCCTTAGAGTTTGAACGGAGCATACCTGCCATCCAACAAACAAATGCGGTTGACTTAGATGGATATCTTCTTTATGAACAGCTGCACCTTAAATATCAGAACTGAAAAAAAGATGAATGCTCTCAGTCAACAATTATTCCTATTCCTATTGATTTATTAGTTTACTTTCATTATACTACATTTCGGATTTTTGATTTTAATTTTACTTTATGCACATTTCTAAGTTTTGATCTGCTTTAAACAACAACTCTTAATCAAGCATCTACAAGTAAATCAAGTTAGTAAAGGCAATTTCTAAGATTTTCGTAAATTAATATGTTTTAAATATCCCATAACTACTCGTACGACAGGTATTTATAGTCTAATAATTCTATTATATCTTTCGGCATTAATAATACATTATTGAAAATTGTATAAACGAAGTTGTTGAGTGAGATGCTTACAACAGCAATGCAGAATGTACAAATGAAAACCTAAGACTGCATCTTACCATTTAATATTTCATACCCAGAACAAACTGATGTCTCAACGTTGTTGTTTCAGCTCTCAGCAGTCTACTAGGATCAAATTGTCCATCCGGACGTATTTCTCCTCCGTTTCCGACGTGAAGCCGTGGTCTCCCTACGTGGATACTTATCCTAGATTGAAACTTAAAAGCAAAACGATATAATTGTTTTTCAAACATGAACGAATCCCGATTCTATATAACATACTTTGTACCATGGATTAGAAATTAGAGCAAAGTATTTAGTAATCTGAGATTTTCTTCGCCATGATGGAATGCCAAAGGCAATGGAGAATAAGATTAATAGCTCACCTCATCTTCTTGCGATGTCGCCAACTCTGGCTCATTTTCTTCTAGTTTCGTCAGGAGCTTGTCCTGCAACAAACAATGATACTCGTTGAGAAATGTACAATATTCATCAAAAATATATAAACTTTATATAATATTTATTAGTAAACAGAACATGCATTCATTCAAGTATTTTTCAAGCAAACTAATCATAAATAGCAAAAAGCGCTCACTTTTTACGTGTATGTAATTTTCCTAACGATTTTGTTAATTTGGAGAAATTTCATATAAATTAAAAGGTAATACAAGTTAATATACTTCCATTCAACTGTCTCTGTTTGTCTTAGAGCTAGAGAGGTGAATGTTGTGAGCAATTCACAACGAAATAAAACCAGCTTTTTCAAAGGAAACTCTTCATATATGAATAAACTATTTCTAAAAAATAGATACATTTCTTGAAAATTATCTCACAGATGCGAAAGATTAACTGATGTCGTACGTATATGATAGAGAGTAACAAATATGAAGAGGTATAATGTCTAGGCTTCAGTTTAAAACGTCAATTTGTTTTAAATTGCTCTGAAATTCTTGGAGCAAAAATACTATTTTCATTAATTTGAGTGATTACTGTGACAATAATTGGTGGAATACCGCGAATTGCATTCGTTTGTCATTTAGGCAATGAACCCGAAATGTCTATATTATACGCGCTTGTGTTGCCTTGATGCCTAAATTACAATATTACTTTGAAACCAGTATAATGCCGGACAGAACTAGGAGGACCAGAAGAAAGAAGAGGACAAAGAAGATAAGGTGGAGGATGGGAAGAGGAGAAGGGAGATGAGAAGGAGGATACGTCAGTGAAGAAGGAAGATACGGAAGAGGAAAAGAAAGGAGAATAAAAAAGAGAAGAATAATTGAAAAGAAAAAAAAACGAGAAAGAAAAAGTGATATAGTGGGACCTTTCACTTAGCCCTATACTGTGTCTTGTATTCCCTTAATGAATCATATTTTCCGGACGTTCATATTTCTCGCTTATGAAGCCGCAGGCGAGCGGGGCCTCGCAGTTGGCAAACCATTATAATTTTAGCAATCTTGGGAGTCAATTTTCTTTGCGAAAACTCACTTGCCGCGCCTGAAAAAATTAATGAAACGCAATAAAAATAAATGGATTGCCCTTCCCGCAACGAAGCGGCGCGGCGCGCCCGGGGGGAGAACGGGGCGCCGGCGACCAACGGCCTGGACCCGGCGAGGGGGGCGGGGCTGGGCCAATCAGTGGCGCAGATGGAGCTGGCGTCAGCGTCGCGACGCCGCCTGCGGCACGGGGCTCCCCCAATCTCCCCCCACCCCGCCGCGACCGGTTGCTCCTCGAGGCAGGCCTCGACTCGGCCCCAGGCGTCGATCACTTCTCCGCCCGAGATACCCCCGGCTCGTTCGATGACGCCGCAAGATAGCCGGTGCTTTCAGCCCCCACGGGGGTGGCTAGGATAACAAGCTGTGGATTAACGACCTACGGCCTGATGTCTACGGCCGAAGCCAGTTGCTCTCTGCAACTTTATGGGATTGAACTCTACTCATCCATTGGACACTTACTGCAATGTGGGTTATTTGGATAGGGCGTTAGCTGGAAGCAGAAATACACCCAAAATACAGGAAAATGAGGAACGTTCCCAGAACGAGATTCGATTTAGAGGGCGCTGTAGTTGGAAAAAATTATTTTATTAAAAAAACAAACAAGGGAACGTCGTTTTTGTTTTAACTATTCTTTTGTTTCAAAAATGTTGTTTGTGTAATTTTTTCAATAAAATAATTTTTTTCGTTACAGTAACTTATTTACATGATCTCAAAATACAATTAACTGCTTTTATAATTTTGGTCTGTCAAGGTTAGCCTTAACAACGGATTAACCAATTTTGATGAGATTTTCACTGATGGTAGAGCATTCTGTCGGTTATAATTTCGGAAAATATTTTCATATTAATTTGTTACATAAAGAAGAATGATTAATACCAATCTTCCGTTTTATTTAGATTTTAATTTTATACACGAATTGAAAGATCCAATTTCCATGACATTTCGTAACAGTTTCTACATCTCCCTATCTCTCCACTTAAATTATTATTATTATAGTTCTTTGCAAATGTCTACAAACAGTGAGGAAATTCAGAGTTTATTTTAAATATTCCTGAAAGTACACACACATTTTAATAAATGTATTTTTTAAATTAATATTGGCTTCTTAGAAACTAAAAAGTTTCAAAATAGATGTCTTTAAATTTTACGTGAACGTGTGTGAGGAATACGTGGAAATATGTTCTTTCAATTCTTCCTATTCGAACTTGCTTATTTTCAAGTTAGCTATCTGAAAAGACACTGCGTGTTCCAGTAACCACTGAAGATGTCTGCTGCAGTTGCAGATGAAACGTTTGGGCGCAAAATGTCCAATAGACCAGCCCGGAAGGTATTATTAATAAATGTATTTTCATTTATTTAAATAGTGCAATTAGGCGTACAATGGGAGACGGTCAAAATTATGACACGTTTGTTGGTAGTATACAATATTGCATGAGAACAATATGATTCTCTCCTGGAAGAAAGAAACGAAACAAATTCAAGAATATTAGTAATGAGAAAATTAACACAATGAAGTCAACACATGAATATCATTGCAAATAAGTTCTAATAGAAAGAATTTAAAGAACATATTTCTCACACACGCTCACGTAAATTTTAAAGAAGTATATTTTGATGAGTTTTTGTTTTTAACAAGCAAATACTAATTTATAAAATACATTTCTTAAAATTTGTGCGTACTTTCAGAAATAATTAAAATAATTAACGCAAATATTAATTTAAAAAAATAAGAGCGATTAAAACGTCATTCGATTTAAACCGTGCTTTAGACCGTCATTTAAACCGGTGTAGTTTCTACCAGACCATGGAACCCAATTGGCCATGCAAGGGCATCCTCTGACCATACACGAAGTTCACGGCTAATATTCGAAACAAGTATTCGTGCTATTTCTAGACGGTTGGATGGTGTAAGACTAAATGAAATTAATTAATTTTATTTTCTTGTCACGTTGGTGTTACAAATTATTGCCACTTACACTTTTTTGGCATATTTAATTGGAGAATACGAGACAACGTGGGAGAAATACAGAATTTATGGCAGAATTGCGAGAACATAATTCGAATGAATTAATAATCAATCATCACAGTTTAAATGAACCTTACATTAATTTTACATCAACGTGTGATGCTCTTCTCCCAACTTACACAAACAATATGAAGCAAGAATAACTCAATGTGCAAGTCGAGATAGTAGTCCTTGAACAAGGTTAGCGGTGGCGCAGGGGCGATGCGGCAACCTTTGCTGTAAAGCACACTCGTGCGCGGCGGGTGGCCGAATCAACAGGCGCTCTCGTTCGGCCTCCCGACACGCAGCTGGCTGCTCTGTTCGCAGGCAGACAAGAGGGTGGCGTCGAAGCATCCTACGCTCCTTCACCGCATGTGGGAATGATTCATTTCGCCTCTCAACACCAGAAACATCACTCACGAAATGGCTATTCAGAGCACGCTTGAATGTTTCAACGCTGCACGCGTACACCAATGTGCGAAGAATGATCTTGGGGGTATATATAGTGTAATACATCTCGCAAAATATGAGGGAGTGTGAGAATGGGCAAGGAATAAACTAGGCTTTAAATGTGACCATTCCCAACTAAGAAGTGTACTTGATTATCGATCCAAAACAAACTGCAAAATAAGGAGATAACAGCAGAAATTTATTATTAACTATGTTCATTTTATAGTATCTATAGTTTTCTGTAGTGACAGATCAAAAAGTAAACTTTCAAGAATCGCGCAAGTTTCAGTTAAAACGCGTAACGTAGTTTTGGTTTTCACCACAACAACCGGCTACCTCAATTTCCTAGTTGGTAATTTCAAAACCTTTAATTTTCCCATTACCACCCCTTCCTAAGAATCGTGTATACTATACTATTACATTTATTGAAGTATGCGTTCAAGAAATGAGTGTTATTTCAAAACTTGCCTCACTACCATCAGGATTCGATTAATAGGCTATACCGATGGACAGGGTTCCCCAATAACTTTCTAAGTAGCATTTTATATTTCCTCATACGTGGTTTAATATTGTCCTATTATATTTTCACAGTGCAAATGGTTGAGTTTACTTCATTTCCTTTCTTATGTTTAATCTATCAACATAATTAAGTAAGTACCATACTTTCGACGTAACATAGAACATGCTTAGAATATGAATCGATCCTTAATCTCTAACCAGGAAAGTATAATTGACAGATATTTAATAAAAAGGTGCGTACCTGCCTAGACGTCGTGTCACAAACATTTTTTCAAAATAATATTTTTGACGTTTTCTAAATATTGACACTCTTAATGTGACATATCTTTCTAATTTGTTTTTAGATTCCGTGAAGAAGGGAAACAACGTGATAATTCCTGTGAGGGAAATGAGTATTAGTTTCACCTCCTCAAAATTTTGAATGATCGTATTCATTAATTTTTTGCATTCTGCGTTGATATAGTTGATTAGAGTGCATCTCTGGAAAAATACGAATTTACTAGACAAAGACACCGTGTATATCCGCCAAACGATCGCTAATGACAAGTTAAATTACTGGGAATGCGTGGCATATCGAATCTTTTTCTCCTCATCGTAGTTTCACCTAACAATTACTCAGATTAAAAAATTACGTATCAGCATTTTAAGGTATACAATTGAATGAATTTATTTAGTAAAACATCTGAGCCACAGTCACCAATAGCTATCAAAAATTGATTGAGAAGTTCGGACACGTCTTAAAATTTCGAGCAGCAAGGATGGACATGAAACATTAGATGTGTGTAGGATGTATCTGTAGAGACGTTATAAAAGTTCTACATATTCACTACATAAAGTAGAAAAACTCAAAAGACAGTTTTCCTGTCGTTCAGTATTAAGTCACGAAGACTAGTTACCTAACTCTCAAAAGTATTCTCGAAGAGGAAAATTCGAATGCATTCAACATATTGATTACGTCTCACCCAATCAAATAATGAACAAATGACTGAAGATAAGTGTTTATTCTAATAATTTTATTATAGTATTAAAATTTAGTGTGGTCGATTCCAGGCAAGAACGAAGTGACAGATATGTATAAACTGATTATCATGTTTCTCGGTGCATTTTTCATGCTTCGAACAAACATTTTATTTCTAGGCCATTGGCTCTGAATCATCTAACGAAACTGGAATCAAGCCCTTTTCTGCGCTGCGACCGCAGAGGCTGGGAGGTAGGCGAGAGCCTTGTCCTCTCACGTGTCCAGCCTGTGCGCCCGATTCTGGGAAGTCCCGGGCGTGCCGCACGGCGACCGCGTCGTATTACACCTACTCAAAACGTTGCTACCAGATCGTAAATTCTGTTTATTTAATTGGACACAGCAAACCCCACGTTTATTAATGGTCTAACACATGCACAAGGCAAAACTTAGGTAAATCAGACTGGAAGGATTCTTCTTTGTGCGTCGCCTCATCTGCACGGCACGTAAAGCTTGTGTTGCCTTTGTGCAAATGGAGATTCTGTTACAGACAATTTTCGCATTATCACTGCTGTGCATGTCATATTAATAGCAACACCAGACTCAATAGTGCTGTAATCGTCGAGTACACAAACTGTAATTACTATTGTAATTTCCATAATACGTTACAAACTGTGCCCATCTCTGAAGCATGAACTGAAAATCGTTGTCTCGCTCTAATTGCAGAGTTTGTGAACGAAATTGGATCTGGTATGTAAGTAGAAACTTTCTTTTGAGCTTAATTGCATGTAATAAGGACCAAGTACCAGTATGATATTCGCCCCTCAGTGCAGGCAACTTCTACCAGTCAGCTTGTCTACATGGTTTGAACGGTTCATTATACATAAATATTAAGAGTATGTGTCTCACTTTTACAGATGCTGGTGAATTAGAAGTGAGTAATTGTAATATGTTCTAATCAAAATTGTGCTTTCGAACTCTGTTTCCAAAATTCCCTCCCCCTCCTACTGAGCTACTATCAAATGGTTCTGGCCTGCTACGGTATGCCATCTTATTGCACAGTCGACTTTTCATCCATGCATTGAGCTAGACATTGCTATAAAACCGATTAATAATAGAACGCATAAAACATCTGGAGCTCACTATCTGTCATGTAAAACAAAAATCACGAATCTCTTCACTTCTCTGGAGTGAGAAGCTCACACGACTTTCTAAACGAAAGTCATTAGTGTTTTAAATAATAAGGCTTTTACAATTTTCGTCGGAGATTTTAATGAAAATAGAAACTATATCACCCGAGAATACAGGTACATCATATTTCGTAGTTATACATTCAGTCTTTTCTACATAAGCATGCCATCAAAAAACCTATCCGGCAATGTTCCAGAAAATGTTGAAAAGGTTATAGGGACTTCGGTGTAATGTATTATGTAATACAATTGAAATATCTTAATAAACTCCTGATCCACGCAACCACGTATTACGTGCTCCAGCTCAAAAGTTTTAATCCAACAGTGTTAGATTAAAAGTTTGTTATCATAATCCTGATTTTAATGCGAAGTTACATCTGAAAATAGTCCCAAACTCGTATTTTACAACCAATATTCGAGATCTAATTGTTTAAGCGACTCCAATACTTTTTCTCCCTATACTACAGAATAGGGAGAAAAAGAAAACATCAATGTAAACAGTTTAATATCAACACCACGTTTTGCGGAATAAACTACGCATACTTTATGGACAAGCGTCATTTATATTTCTGGTGAATGTGTGTTTAGAATTCGAATACAAAAGTATGAGACGCATTACAAGGTAATTTCAATAGAAGAAACTGCTGCTGTTAGCTTTTCCGGTGCCGAAGACACAATTGATTGTGTCGCGGGTTGAAACGTTCATTACTGAACGTTTTAGAAGAATGTGTTGTATTTGACGCAATCGTAAATAACGGTACATTTTAATGTATTGAAACATGTTTCTAAAAATACTGGCAGAATAAGGGCCGAAATGCACGTGTCGAGTGTTATCTATCGTTGTCGAGTGTAGGAGGGTGTGTGCGAGGAGGATGGGCGGCGTCGCTCAGCGCGCGCCGGGCAGCGCCTGGGCGGCGGCGGCGGCGGGCGACTCCATGTGGCGCGGGCTGAACTGCGACACGTGCGGGTTCTGCCTCTCGAGGTAGGCGAGCGCCAGCGCCAGGTCGCTGCACACCACGGCCAGCGCCTCGTCCAACAGCAGCAGCTCGGAGCGCGACGCCGGCGGCAGCCCCAGGTTGGTCACGATGCCCATCGGCCCCTGCGCACCGCCCGCCCCCCCCCGCGCAGCAGGGCAAGGGCGCTGTGATCCTTCCGCATGGACTGACTAAGGCCGAGGGGGTTTTCACGCCCCCGCGGCGGGCACCTGCTTAGTTCCGGTAAATTATTATGTATTGTCTTATGTGTATTTAGCAGGGGCGGATCCAGAAAGATATTTTGAGAGGTTAAATTTAAAATGTTTTGGTCGAATGTGTGTTGACAGATTTTGTAAAATATGGCAGGCTACACTTGGCACCTGCTGCGATACGATTTTGTTGGGCTTATACTCCAGTTCGGTCCACGCGTGCATCCTGTTTCTGAGACCACTCCGGAACTACTGCCCTAGCAATCTCGGCCATTTGACCAGCTTTTAATCTTTATAATGATTATCCTAAAATATTTTTCTTGGAATATTCGTGACTAGTTAAAATTAAAAGTTACTTAAACAATCTGGGAGGGGAAATTTCCCTCATTTCCCTCTCCGTAGATTTCCCTCTCTGCGTTTGGTATTTAGTAATAGTTTTCTTGACTGGAACGTTCGCCCAGAGGAGTTAATGCCACAGCCAGCTAATATTCCTCTTAGCATATGTCTTTCAGAGTCATGATCCGCCCTGCTCATGATCTTTCCAGCTCACGATACACTCAGCCCATCACTAGTCCGGCTCATGCCACACTTACAACCCTCTCAGATCAAGGTCTGTCAAGTTTACTTCTATGTCAGCTGAGAACACAGCCTGCACTTCATCTACCCAGCTCATTAACTGCTCCATTCAAATCCCGCTCAGCTCGAGACCCACGCAGCAAAGGACATACCTACCACGTGACACTCTCAGCACACAACACGCTAAACTCATGACGTGTTCTTATCAATATATACCCAGCACATGACATGCCCAGGCCACCACACGCCCATCCCATATGACACCGAGCTCACGATCGGTTCAGCTAATTTCGCTCGGTTTCTATCCCACCCAGTTTATGCGCTGCCCGTGCGTGCACAGAGCTTACCGCTTAGTATACAGAGCCTGGTAATTACAGTTACGTTTTTGCCTTTCAATAGCAATCTTTTAAGGAGGCAAAGTCACCACGTGAACAGTTTGCAACGTGGGAAAGGAGTAAACAGTAAAAAGTCCCTGTCTGTCGCGGGGCTTACGACGAGCAGCGAGGAGGCGAGGTAGGGCGCGCTGGGCAGCACGGAGGAGCGCACGAAGGCGGTGAGGCGCAGCGAGCGCACGCCCAGCGCCGCCTTGGCCAGCTTCTCCGCCAGGCGCGCAGCCGCGCGCCCGGCCGACAGCGGCGCCTGG